CCACTCTATGTATGTGTGTGTGTGTGTGTGTGTGTGTGTGTGTGTGTGTGTGTGTGTGTGTGTATGTGTGTGTAGGCCAGAGATGGGCATCACATGACCTCCATTAGTCCCGACCTTTATTTTGCAGGCTCTCACTTAAACCCAAGCACACTCATTCAAACAGGCTGACCAGGCAATGGCCTCCAGGGATCCACCTGTCCCTGCTGTTACCCCCAGTGTTGGCATTACAGACACACACCACCACCTTGCCTGTCCTCATGCTTTCGGTGACAGGCACCTTACCCGCCCTGCCATCGCTCCAGCTCCTGGTTTTGGTTTTGGTTTGGGAGGGGCAGGGTTTTAAGTGGCTCAGGCTGGCCTCAATCTCACGATGTAGCCAAGGTTGACCGGGAAAGCCTGACCTCTGCTTCCCACGGGCTGAATTACAGGCGTGCAGCACCACACTCAGCTCGTGTGTCTGCTGAGGGATGCTGTGTGTGACTAAGGACAGCGGTCTTCTCCCTGGGGCCCTTCCCAGAGCAGCTAGCTTTGCCCACAGGAGCTCCAGTCTGCTGCTCAGACCTGGCTGTGCTGCCTGCCCGATGGGAAAGCCCGGCACTGCAGGCGGCAGAGATGACTCAAGCGAAGGAGCTAAGGCAGGGAAAAGGAAACCTGGCAGGACCTGTCCAAGTCCTCCAAAAACGGCTTCCTTCGTGTTCACAGGAGACCATGGCCTGGAGAGGGGAAGTGCCTGGGAAGCCCTAGGACCGGAAGTGAGCGCTTCTGACTCCAGGTCAGCGCTCTTCCTTTCCGAATGTGGAACGCAGGGCGCTTGCTCGCAGGGCAAGGCCGGCAGGCAGGCAGGCGGGCCGGGAGGAGCTGAGTGTTGAAGGGAGTCCCCCTACCCGCCTCCCTTTGCCAGCCGCTTACTGTTGGTTCCTAACCCTCCTCTCGCTCCTGGGAGCGCCAACTCTGATGTCAACAGGCAGTAGGCTGCGTCTCAGTCATCCTCCGGTCCGCAGCAACTTGCAGGAGTTGCAGAGAGGGGCCTGGAGCACCCACAGCCGTCTCATACCTCTCCTGGAAGCTCGGCTTTTTGCTCTGCAGGCCAAAGGATGGGGGAAGCCCAGAATCTGAACGACCTTGAAAGGGAGGACAGGAAAGAAATAAGCTAACCACAAAGCCTCACTTCTCCCTGTCCCCGGGTAAATGGCCTTGGGAAGGAGCATTTCTCAACGTCTCGGCCTTGCTAAAAAACCACTGTGCTTGGTGAGGGGCTAGAGCAGTGGGCGGGGCCGGCGTCCCAGGAGCCAGGCTGGCCCTCCCCCGCACCCGGCCTTCACTCGCAGCCTCTTGTTCTGGTCTCCACACTGACTCCCACCCACTTCCTGTGTCCTCAGTGGAGGCCTTTCTACCTTCAGGACATTTTTACCCACAGGCTGGGGGTGTGGCCTAACTGACAGCACCTGCCTAGCAAGCCTGAAGCCCCAGGTTCAATCCCCAGCACCTTATAAACTGGGCATGGTGGTGCTCACCTGTAATCCTACCTCCGGGGCAGGTGGAGGCAGGGAGATCAGAAGTTCAAGGTCAGCCTCAAAAGTTAATTTTGGCTGGGCATGGTGGTGCCAGGGCTACACACAGAGAGAAAACAGGTCTAAAAAACTAGTACTGTCATCACTACTAACCTTATTGTCCACTCCCCTACTCAATAATAGCAGCTAAACTTATTTTTTAAAAAGGAAAAATAGTTGAGCAGTGGGGGCCCATGCCTTTAATTCCAGTACTTGGGAGGCAGAGGCAGACAGATCTCTGTGACTTTGAGGCCAGCTTGGTCTACAGAGTAAGTTCCAAGACAGAAAAACCCTGTCTTTAAACACAAAAAAGAAAGAAAGAAAGAAAGAAAGAAAGAAAGAAAGAAAGAAAGAAAGAAAGAAAGAAAGAAAGGAAAGAAAGAAAGGAAGGAAGAAAGAAAAAGAAAAGGAAAAATACCAACAAAAAAGATTTTTGTGTGCACCTATCATGTGTGTGGGAACCCACAAAGGAGAGTGGAAAGCAAAGGTTCCCTGGAGCTGGAATTCGAGGCGTGCACTGGGAACTGAACCCCGGGACTCCTGAGCCTTACTTTTGTGTGTGTGTGTGGTCTGGGCACGCATTTGCATGTGTGCTGGTGTGAGTGTGTGGGTCATGTTACACGCCTTCATCTAATAACAACTCTATACATTATTCTCTCTATGAACCTAACACTCTAGGTCGGGGTAGGCTGTCTGGACAGTGATCTCCTGGGGTCGACCCCTAATTTGGGGTCATAGATCTCTGCTTTATCTGGTGATTTGAACTCAGGTCCTCTTGCTTTCACAGTGAACATGCAAAGCCACTAACCATGTCCACAGTCTCAGCTATACTGTATTTGTTTATGTCTGTCTGTATTTGTACATGTCTGTCTGTCTGTGTCTATGACTGCATGTGTGTCTGTGTATGTGTCTGTGTCTGTGTGTGTCTTTGGGTGTCTATGTCTGTGTGTCTGTCTGTGTATTTGAGTGTATGTCTGCATGTGTGCCTGTCTGTGTCTGTGTCTGTGTCTGTGTCTGTCTGCATATGTGTTTGTGTATCTATGTCTGTGTGTCTGCGTGTATCTGTGTGTGTGTGTGTGTGTGTGTGTGTGTGTGCATCTGTGTCTGTGGTGTGTGTGTGTCTGTGTATCTGTGGGTGTCTGTGTGTGTCTGTGTGTGTGTCTGTGTATCTGTGGGTGTCTGTGTGTCTGTGGTGTCTCTGTGTGTCTGTGTCTGTCTGTCTGTCTGTCTGTCTGTGTATCTGTGTGTGTGTGTGTCTGTGTGTGTGTGTGTGTCTGTGTCTATCTGTAGGTGTCTGTGTGTGTCTGAGAGTGTGTGTCTGTCTGTCTGTCTGTCTGTGTATCTGTGTATCTGTGGTGTCTGTGTGTGTGTGTGTGTCTGTGTCTGTATCTGTGGGTGTGTGTGTGTGTGTGTGTGTGTGTATGCGCGAGTGCGTGCGTGCGTGCTTCAGTGTGTAGATCTGAAAAGAACCTTCTGGAATCAGGTCCCACCAGGTGGGTCAGAGGGGTTGAACTCAGGCTGTATCAAGCTAGGCAGCAAGAACCTTCACGCACTGTGCCACCTCACCAGGCCCAGCAAAATGTAATTAAAAAAAAAAAAAATCCTGTGAAAGGCTGGGGCGTGTTGGTACACACCTTTGATCTTAGCACTGGAGAGTCAGAGGCAGGCAAATCACTGTAATTTCAAGGCTAGTCTGGTCTACACAGCCGTTTCCAGGCCAGCCAGGGGTAGTGAGACCCTATATCAAAAAACCAAAACAACAACAAAAAAACCCCATAAAGTTAACCTCTGTGGAAACTCCCAGAAGTCCCTAACAATAACCAAGTGGTCCCTTGGGGCTCCAGCTCCCAAAGCTGGGCACCCTGAATCTAGACACAGCATCCTCTTTGCTCCCCAAACTTGTGGGAGCCCGAGGCCGGGAATGAGGTGGAATTTCCCCCATCAGTGCGCCCCACGCCTGCCTGCCACGGCAGCAGAGCAGAATGCACCGATTTCCTCTTCCTGGGAGGGGGTTTCCCAGCCAGGAGCAAGTCTTGGGCTGGGGGTTGAGGGTGGCGCCCAGTGAAAGTCAAGGAGAAAAGTGCCTCTCTCGAATCCCTGCTAAAAATAACCCCAGGCCTGGGCTGCGGCCCCCCGGAGCAGAGTGGTGTTTTGCTTGAAACCTCCAGGCTGCTCAGCAGTTGGGGGCACCGGCAGGGGAGGAGGCCTGCGGAGGCGCTGTGACCCTGGCAGGGCCAGGCGCCCCCAGATGCAGCTGGTCCTCTCTGGGTGCCTGGGAGGGGCTCGAGTGTCTGTGTGCCAGTGTGCTGTGGTGCCAGGGCAGGAAGCAGAAGTCAGGGGACCCGTGGGGAGGGGGCTCTGTCCTACTAACTGCAGCTCGACGGGGAGAGGCTCGCACGCTCGCACTCCACCGGCCCCACCTCCTCCTGTAACCCAAGTCAGGCTCCGGGGTAGGGGAGCTGTCCTGCCCCTCGAAGGCTCCCGGCACACACCCAGCAGGGGGGTGTCGCCTCACAATCCAGGTCCCTGTCTGGCCTCTGCTCTGCCCAAAGAGATGGGCAGGTCCTCGAGGGCGGGTGTGGTCGAGTGGGCAAGGAATTTCCCTGGAAACGGGAAGTACAAGATGTGTCAGTGTGGGCTCCAGGCACAGCCGACAGAGGCGCAGGGGAGGGGGGAGAGAGGGGAAGAGGAGAGGGCAGGGGAGAGGTGGGGGGTAGGGAAGTGGGGAGAAGGAGGGTAAGGAAGGAAAGGCCTCAAGAGAAGAGAGGAGAGGAACAGGGGAAGGAAGAAATGGAGGAGAGGGGAGAGGAAAGGGAGAGGGGGGGAGGGAGGAAGGGAGAGGGAGGAGAGGAAGAGAGGAGGAGAGGAGAGGGGAAAAGGAACAGGAGAGGAGGAGGGGAGGGGAGGGGAGGGGAGGGGAGAAAAGAGACTAGGGAGGGAGGAGTATAGGAGAGGGGGAGGAGGAGGGGAGAAGGAGGAAGAGAGAAAAGGAAAGAGAGGGGAGAGGAGGAAAAGGAAGAGGGGCAGGAACGCGGAAGAGAACGGAGATGGGAAGGGAAGGCTTTTCTCTTAGGTCCTCGCTGCCCTCGGCGTCTCGGGCGCTTTAGGACAGGACTAGTCTGCATTTGTCCTCCATGTCCCAAAGTGACAAAGGACTTCCAGCGCCCCTGTGAGAATGATCTCTCCTAAATCCACCCCAGCAAGCCCTAGATAGACTCTACTCCCCTGTCAGACCAGGAAACAGGCTTAGGATGGTGGCATGTCTGTACCCTATGTGCAGAACACAGGGGAGGGGGGACCCAGCGCTTGGGACGTGAGAAACAGTCTGCTCAGGGAACAAGGAGACAAGGTTTCAGAGGGGACTTTCCTGACTAATTTAGGACAGATGAGCACTGCTCCTGATACTTGGTAGGAAACCACACACACACATACACACACACACCACACGCATGCGTGCATGTGTGAGCAGCCGGAAGCTCATGCACACACAGAGAGAGACACACTCGCACAGACACACACACACACACACACACACACACACACACACACACCACACACGCGTGCATGCGCACACACAGAGAGAGACACACACTCGCACAGACACACACACAGACACAGACACACACGCACGACTTTACATTCACAAGTTATGACTGATGGATGGATTTTGTTTGAGACACTATGTGGCCCTGGCTGCCCTGGAATTGGCTATGAAGACCAGGCTACCTTGCACTCCCAGAGATCCTCCTGCCTCTGCCTCTTGAGTGTGGGATTAAGGTGTGGGCCACTAGGCCCCCCTCCAGCTGTGATTCTTTGCCAGAGGTCCTCAACCACTCTAAGCATCAGTTTCCATCTCTACAAAATGGGTCTCCTAATCTTTTCATAAGGTCCTGGAAAGCCATGCGCTGGACTTGCCATTTCTGTATGCTAGGAAGCCCCAAGCTGCTTCATTCCTGGGAGCTGTCAAAAGTGCTGTTTCCTTTGTGGGGAGACCTGGGCCTCCAGATGTCCACAGAACTGCTGGGTTCCTAGCTCTCCCTTCTGGGCTGGCACACCCTGACTCTCAGAAGCCTCAGAGTTCATTTCTCCCCTGCACTTATGGTCCCACATTATCTGCTAATTTGTTTCATTTGCCTGCTTGTTTATGGCCCTAGCCACCCAGGATGGAAGTTTCTTGAGAGCCGCCCCAGCCCTGGCTGCACTTGGAGTTTGCTAAGCATCAGAGCTGAACTCTGAGCACTTTAGGTTGAATGAACAACCAGGCTTGCAAACGACGGTATGTTTAAGTGGCTGATTCTCCCACAGGCCTCCCTGAGCCAAAGGGCAGTAAATGTTCCTTAATAGAGGCCTGGAGAACACTCTGGGCCTGGCCCTCACCCAGCCCTGAAGCTCCCCGGGTACAGGGAGCCAGCCAGGAGGCTGTCTAAGCTTCCGGCTGCTCCAGGATAAAGGTCAGCCCTTTGCTGGAACACAAGGTACTGCACCATCTGGGCCTGCCTGCCTCTGGCCTCATCCCCGTCCTCCTCAACCTGCACTCTGTGTCCAGCCAGACCAAACAGCGCCTGGTGACGGCTGTACAGCACAGGACTGTCTCATGCCCTGTGTCCCTTGTACCTGGAACAGCTTGCACACTGCTGTGCCTAGCCAGATCTCTGCAGACTTGAAGAAGATCAACTTCCTCCAAAGGGAACCTGCCAGAACCCTCTGCCCTAGCCACACCCGGGTCCCTGAGTTCCCAAGGCCTTAGGATGGTATGGTTTCATGCATTCTTTTCCAAGTTATTCAGAGGCCTTGAGGAGAACAACCAACCAGCACCCATGTCTCTTGGACAGTGGTTTTAAACCTGGGGGTCATGACCCCTGGGGGTCAAGCAACCCCTTCACAAGGGTCACACATCAGATATTCTGCATATCAGATATTTTCATTAAAATTCACAACAGTAGCGAAAATACAGTTATGAAATAGCAGTGAAATAATTTAAGGAATTGTGTTAAAGAGTTGCAACATTAGGAAGGTTGAGAACCATTACTCTAGGGTAGGGCTGATGCCAGTTGTACATAGTAAGTGCTTAATAAAGACCCAGCTTCTGCAGTCTTGTCCCAGGGCGTATGTTAGGTGCTGGATAAATGCTTTCTGAGTTCATGAGCCCAACACTGGCAGAAGCCTGGGGAAAGGTAATCTGTGCTGGGGGACTGGCAGGAAATGAGATGGCACTGGAGAAAGGAAGGCAGAAGAGGGCCAGTGAGGTGGCTTAGCAGGCAAAGGGCTTGCCGCCAAGCCTGACTGATCTGAGTTCAATCCTAGGGCCTGTGTGGTGGAAACAGAGAGCTGACTCCCTTAAGCTGTCCTCTGACTGCCAATGTGCACTCTCTCTCTCTCTCTCTCTCTCTCTCTCTCTCTCTCTCTCTCTCTCTCACACACACACACACACACACACACACACAACACAAACACACACAAATGCACATACACATACACACAAACACAAATACACACAAAACACAAACACACACATATACACACACATACACACAAACACAAATACATACACAAAACACAAACACACACAAATGCACACACACACAAATATACAAATACGTCAGGCGGTGGTGGAGCACACCCTTAATCCCAGCACTCGGGAAGCAGAGGCAGGCAGATCTCTGTGAGTTCAAGACTAGCCTGGTCTATAAGAGCCAGTTCTAGGACAGGCTCAAAAGCCACAGAAAAGCCCTGTCTCAAAAAAACAAGCAAAAAACCTCAAACAACAACAAAAAACCCCAAACACAGAAATACACACACAAAACACAAACACAAATACACACACACAAAACACACAAACACACAAACACACACAAAAAACACACAAACACACACATATCCACAAACACACACAAAACACACACACATATACATAAACACACACAAACAACAAAACAAATACATACAAACATAAACACACACACAAATAAATGAAATGTAAAATGTAATATTTTAAAAAGTAACTACAGACAGAGCTGTATAAACAGAACTCTGAGCAAGGATGGGAAAAAGAGGAAGAAGAGTGAACTTAGGGGAAGAAAAAGAGGCCCAGAACACAGTGTCCCCCTGCCACTGAGGACAGGAAGCCAGAAACCAGCACAGAGGCACCACACAAGGGCTATTTGGTGTCTCCACTTCATCCGCTGGGGTGGAAGGGCAGGCATGGGCAGGCAGTGCAGAGCTGTGACCGCCTCCTCATGGGGTGAGGAGGCTCTGTGAAAGACCATGCACACCACACACCACCGGAAATAGGACATCCTGGAAGTTTCTTCATCTCCCAGCTCAGAAGAGCCCATGACAGGAAGCAAGGCACCTTGACTTTAGTTACCCTCGTCTGTTTCCCAAGCCCCAGGGTGGCTAATAGCCCTCTCAGAGGGGCGCCAGGATGATGCTGAGTCAGGACAGACATGTAGAACAGCCAGGGCCAACCCCTAGATTCTTCTCAAAGCTCTGCTGTGGACAGTGCTAAGAAAGAGCATGCTACTGTGAGCTGAACTTAGTACATAAGCCTATGATGCTAGCATTCAGAAGACAGAAGCAGGAGGATCAAGAGCTCACGGTTACCCTCAGCTACACAGAGAATTTAAGGCTAGCCTGGGCTACAGAAGACCTTGTCTTACCAGGCCATTTGTCTCTGTATATGAGGTAAGTAGCAACAGGAACTTCAAATGTCCCAAGCTGGGAGCCATGACAGGCAATCCTGACACTCCAAATCTTCTACTGATGGTGTCATGGAGACCTTGCAAATGGGTAGATTTCAACCCACTGTTTTGATTTCAGTGGACCACTGTTGTCAGGTGTGGTGGTGTAATCCCACTGCTTGGGACGCTATGACAGGAAGGTCATGAATTCAAGGTTAGCCTGGGACATATAGCAAGATCATGTCTATAAACAAACAAATGATATGTCCAGTTCCAATTTGCAGCTTTGATGGGGACTGTGAGTCCTGGCAATGAGAGGCTAGTGTGCATCCCTGCTCTCTCCAGGCCCCCACCTCTGTCTGTACCCTGTGACTGCTAGGGGCTGTCTCTGATGCTTGAACAGTCAAGACTTAAGGTGTCGACTTAAGTTGTCCAGCCAGGTTCAGGGTTATTGCTGGAGTATAAGAAATAAACATGGAAAAAAAAAAAAAAGAGAAAACAGGGAAGGTGTCAACCTCAAACACAAAGAAGCTGGAAAGGAGAGAGAGAGGAGGTGGGGGGGGGAGAATATGAACTGGGGGCTTCCTAAACCCTTCTGGAGTTTGCCTTCCCCCTTCAAGGTGAACTCACTGGGCTCCCCACCACCATGAACTGTGGGGTCTGGAGACTAACTCTGTGAGTCCTGAGGATTCAGGGGGAGGTGGGCAGAGGAGAGCCGGTGCCGGACAGCAGGATGCCACTGCTGGAGAAGGGGTATAAATAAGAAACAGCCAGTGTAGGACTGGACAGAGGCCATTTGAAACACACGGTACATTCCGGCCCCAGTGTAACAAACTGTACCAGCCTTCCTGAGAGCTGGGAGCACTGCAGAGGGGTGGGAAGACAGCAGAGGAGCCTCCTCCTCCCCCACTCCTCCCTCCCACGGCCCTGGCACTACACAGAAAGCCCCTGTCCCTTTGGCAGCCACAGGAAGCTTACATCCCTGCTCACACTCTGTACCCTGAATCCCTCTCCCAGCTCCAGACAGGGGTGGGGGAGTCGGAGGAGGGTGGGAAAAGGGTAAAACGGGGGAGGGGATGATGAGTGTGTGCATGGAGTGG